CATAAATTTGAAGTAACATCGACTGAAATCATTTTTCTAAATTTAACTAGTTTTGTAGTTTTGTTCAAGTTTTTCTCTGTATTCTCAAGTTTTGATCAAATGGAAATTTGTCGAGTTGTTTAGAAATATCTTTTAGGCTTTTACGCACTTGCTCTAGATCACCGTTAAACCATTTCTGTTTTTTACGTATACCGCTTTGATTTGTTTTCCTAGTCTTAATTTTAATAAATTTCACAGCTTTATCAGCTGCACTATACATAATGTTATTGAATGCTGGGATAGCTTCATTATTCTGATCTAATAATGTATAAACTCAGTATCATCTCATTAAGAGACCACGCGACCATTAGCAGATGTTGGTATTGTCACGATAATTTTTAACTGTTATGTAGTGTTGGAGTTTTATATGAATGCCATGCCCGCTTTACCTAGCACGGTATCTAAAGACCTGTCGCGGAACAAATAGCGACTCTCATATGCCCACAATGTCAAATTTGAGTCAAACAGTCTGTCGGAGATTCATAATATATATTTGCATTCGTTTTATATTGCTATTATTATTATTATTACATGTCATTTCGCTATAGTTAATTCGTTTACCTTTCGCATGAAGGATTCCTCTGAGTAATTCTCGACCAATTAGAATCATTTAATTTCAGCCAATCATTTTACTCTGTATTGTATCTTTTTCTCCCGCGTACTTACATTTTGTATTTCCCGCTTACGTGTTTTCTCTCACGTTCGATACGCACCCATATAAAGGGCTAGTTTCGGAATTTCGGGGCTCCTTATTCATGTGTTACATGTTTCTATGCCAGTTTATCCAGCAATAAACCATACCGTGTTTTGCATCCACATTGACTGTTTTATTCTGCCATCAAGTTCAACTGAAGCGTATTATTATACCCCACACAGTCTGAGAACTGTCACATAACTATTGATTTGGACACATGACGTCAGCTTATCGTTTTTTCTTTTACCCAGTAAGTCCGAAATTTTTTTGGGAATGATTACCCTGGAATCCATGACAAAACACTATTTCATAAATATAAATAGTATTTATCAAAATGTCTTAATATTCACATATCTTATAAACATGTAACAACTACATGTACTCACCGTAAGATTTTTTCATAGACATCAATGGAAAAAGAATCAAATATAATATGTACAGTGCAAAAAGTAGTTCGGTAAACATATTTTTATATTAATAACATGTTATTCATGTACCTATACAATATAATTGCCATGTTACTTTAAGGTAGCGACTAAAGGGAGAAACGAGTAATAGTTTGAAAGCGATTAGGGCATTTTCCAAAAGTTGTCAAAATGGTGCTATGACGATAAGTACTAGTATGTTTTCAAAAAATACGAACATGTACTCCCCGTGTTATTATTTGCTTAGATATTTGTCATTCTATGTATATAAAAATACAGGATCCTAGTAATAATCTTTCGGGATTTCGGAATATGTAATGCTTCCCATAACTCTAGAAATATACTACGTCAAACGTGTTCAGACTTAATTCGTTAGACGCTGCCTTGCAGCTTGTAGCCATAATTCAAAATCTGACGCCCATAAAACGTCTATGAGACGCCATTTTAGCCAATTTTGCGGTGAATTGAGGGTGTAATTTGTGAGACACTAGCGTGGAGAAAAATGTTGATGACAATTTCAAAAGTAATCATAGCTAAAAATTACTTTCCGTAAAAATCTAAAACGTCACAAGAGCCCAAAATACCATTTAGATTGAATCATATAACCTGTCGACCACTGTTATACCACTTGAATGCATCAAACAACTAATTCATCCAAGGCTCTTCGTTAAATATGCAAATTAAATCATTTGACAAGCTCATTTTCCGCTACCCAGCCTGCACATACAAAAGTTAAAGTGGAATGTCTACCCACGACGGGATTTGTGAATAAACTGAAAGTACGCACCAAATGCATCTCACACAGTCAATCTCACCAACGATAAAAAGAACGCAATATAATGTTACATAATAAATTATTTTGATTTCCTCTGTCGCTATATTAAGTAACACACATCATGATGTATGTATATACGAAATTCTGGATACAATGAGACGAAACGTAGAATTGTATTGACTACATTCAGTCACAATTTTAGTAGCCTTGACTTAGTCCAGTCTTAGATAACAATTTTATGTTATCCGAGGTATAGTGTAATTTTGCATTTTACCGATTGTTACATTTTCACTTTCATTATTTTAAGTAAACAGTTGTGTATTTTCGTTTTTCGAGCATTAGCGCCACGCTTCCTGGTTGAGGGCGCACTGGAGCAACGTCACAACCACCAAACAGCCACAAAATACAGCTATCATCATGGGAGGTACGGATTCAAAGCTGAATTTTCGCAAGGCTGTGATACAACTTACAACGAAAACACAGGTAATAACAGAATATAATAATCTTCACAATTATCAGTTCTTCAAGTTATAACGTTACCAATAACTGTACGTGCTCTACTTTTTGAAAAATGAGTTCATATGGCGACCGAGAAAAAACATAAATATGGCCGTCAATGGTTGTGTGTTAAAACCGCTGTTTTTGTCGATCAGGCACCGTGCGTTTATTTTCTGGAGAATGACTTTAGAAATATTAAATTATGTGACGATGAGAAACTACTAATGTATTATTTTCAATTATGTAATTCTTTGAATTATTTCACAAATCGCAGTGAATATTTTGTTGATATTCATAAAAAAATCGCCATTATGATGATTAGCTTGCTGACCCTGTATCCACGTCATTGTACTGCCGACGACCAAACCGCGGTGGGTGGCGGTGATGTTTACAACTATCGCTCAAACTAAACGTGTAAAAGTAATCACAGCGGTGTAGCACACACCATTTTCACAATTAGTTAAATGTGCTGGCGAACATTGACTGCACGATTTTGTCACGTTTATTGAGCAGTTGTTACTCGTGCAGTGTTGTAATTTGTGCTCTCACTTGCTGGTGATGCAGCCAGCTGATGATGAACACTCATCTCGATAATGTTGGTGCTACTACGAGTTGATGAAATCTCTTGCATATAATTTCTAGTGACCAGAATATACAATTGCATGTTGAAGCAGAATGGTACAATAATATACCAATCTCTGATAAAAAATGTTCAGTTTGTGAAATTAAAGAAATTGAAAATAAGCAACACTTCTTGCTATCATCTCAGTATACACTAAGAAAAAAGAGTTTTGTTCAACACTGGCAGTTATTAATTAATATTTTGAACAATAAGGATGAAAAAATTATAAATAATGTGGTGAAACATATTTCTAACTGTTTTAATATATGAGAACATTAAATGAAAAGTGAAATGGCTAATCCAGCTGCTTCAGAAAACACAAATTAATCAGTTTTTCTCTGTTAGGAAGTTTGAGCATCTTTGATCCAAATCTAACACTGATTTAATTTTAATATGACTAAATGTAGTGGCAGATGCCAATAATTGGACAATGTGTACACTGATTTATTTGATGACATTTTGTTTTAATTTGCATATGGGAATCCTGAGGAACTTGATTTGAGATACTCCACTGAATTTCTTGTCTTCTACAGTATAAGAATAAATTAGAATATGCTTTACATAATATATACATATCACATTTAGTAATTGCTATTTTTGAACTGAGATGTAGAAATTATGTAAATATTGATAAATAGTGTGACAACATGATTAGAGTAGCTGTCTGACCAGCGTACAACTGCGTCCCATTTTACTGCATCTGACTACAGTCTCTCTATCCCTGTCATCTAAATTGGCAATATAGTAGTTGTGGTATTCAGTGTCATGCGATATTTGTGTTTGAGTACATTATCACATCTGTTAATTGATTTTTCTTAGTCTGAAGCTAGTCATGTTATACATGTACTACCTAGTACATGTAATAGGTAAAACAATTATTCATTATCCATCAGATCGGATGAGATGTCGATAGTGACTTGGTGCACATTAGCTGAACACAATATCACACTGCCTAGAAACCCACTAATGGCCTATTTGATAGTGCTGAGAACCTGTATGTGATAATGATAAAATTTCAGTGAAATCAACATTTGGGATATATGCTGTTGTTGACGTTTGGCATGGACAATTGTTTCTCTGTCATTGTCATTTCAACATTGTTTCAAATCATACAAACAATAAAACAAAAATGCTTCCCATTTTGAATGAAAATGCATGTAAAAGAATCAAAAAGCCTGCACCATACCATGTTTAATTGAATTTGATTCATGTAAGACACAAGAACAAATTTTTTAATTTTTTTTTTTTATTTTTACAGATGAATACTAATTTTAATCAAATCTGTAAGTCAATTCAAGCACATGTCTTGTCAGTATGTCTTGGCTTTTTACACAATCTGATCAAATCATATTCCTTACTAAATTTCAGGAAATTTAGTTCAAATTTTCACTGATATAAAATCTTGCAAAATGCAAAATACATACTTAGGTGTAACTGTATGCAAAGTATATGCATTAGTTCTATTGGGATGTGTCTACTTGTGGTGCATACACAGGGTTCTCCACGATTTGAAAATTAAACAGGGCGCACCAATGTGAAGGTGGAGTGAGCGTGGCACTTGACCTTTGACATATTATTAAGTAAACATCACGACATACAATCAGCTGATTTTAGCTTCACAATTCATCACGGCGAATTCATCACCCCTAAATTAGTTGTTTACCAATAATGATCGCTTCTAGAATTTTTGTTTTACCAAATAGATGCATACATGCCTTATTTAATTATAAATTAGTTGTGATTTTTAATTATTTGGACAAAGCAATATAAAATTTATGTTGTCGCACAAACGTTTGAAATTGGTTCATTAAAAAACTTGCATGAATGTACGTCATCATCACTGAAAAGCGAGATGATCAAACAAAATAAAATCTGCACCCTGATACTGTGCAATGACGCATTTGATTGGATAAAGACACGCATTGACACGAAAAACAACCAATCAGAATATTTGTTCCAAGAAGAACACTAGTAAATTTATTTCCTCCACTTATGATGTGAGTTGAAAGCATGGCTGTTTTACCAGGGTTTTTAAATCGTGATTTAAAGAAGATTCAACTTTGAATAGTGACGTTCATCAAAATATAAACATTTACGTGTTTAAGCAAGCATTCATGTAGACTTCTTGGTGATCAGCAATGTCTGTGATGGTACGTCAGCTGCGCTGATCGTTTACCGATCATGCAATATCGATTTTATATATTTGATGTCACCCTGGCAGTAAAAATATGGGTACGGTAATACACGTTTCTAGGCCACTGTTTAATTTTAATCGTGTTAAAAAACTTGCAACTTTTTGTTCGGTAGTGTTATCACCTCAGGGTGACCTGCTACAATAACAAG